GACCCCCTGGTGCATGAAACGCTGGTACCCCAGAGCCCTGACACCCGCCCCCCCCCCCCAGTCCATCGAGGTCTGGTACCTCAGTGCTCTGATCCCCCCAGTGGGTACCCTGGGGTACGGAGCATCCGTGCCCCTGATGCATGGAGCCCTGCCATCCCCATGCACAGAGCACTGATCCCCCCCCCGTGCATGGAGCCCCAATCCCCCTGTGCACGGAAATCTGGCACCCCAAATCCCCAACCCCCCCCCCCCCCAGTGTGTGGAGGTCTGCTACCCCGGAGCACGGAGCACCAGTCCCCCCCAGGGCACGGAGCTCTGGCACCCCAGTGCACGGAGCCCTGCCAGCCTGGAGCACGGCGCTCTGGTACCCTGGTGCAGGGTGCCCAGGTACCCCCTGCACACAGCACCCCAGTACCTCAAAGCAGGGAGCCCCAATACCTCGACACACGCTGCCCTGTAGTGCACAGTGCTCTGCCCTCGGGTGCCCAGAGCCCCAGTACCCCAGTGCAGGAAGCCCCAGCTTCCCCTCTGAAGAGCGCTCTGGTATCTGCAGCATGTGGAGCTTTATTTCCCCCGTGCCCCAGCCAGCTTGGGAAAAAGGGGGGGCCATGCCCAGGGGTTACACTTCCACCCCTCTTCAGCCCTGCCCTGCGCCTCACACAGATAGCAAGCTTGGTCGGATTAAACTATTTCCCGCTTTTCTGTCCCTCGTCACCTCTGGAACGGCATTTTGTGTTTGTTAAAACCGTTGGTGTGGATTACGCTCGGGGGGGGGGGGATGATAACGCAGCCGGTCTGAGCGCCCTCGGTCCCAGTCTGCCAGCTCAGCAGCTACTGGCATCACTCGCTCACGCAGCGGGTCAGGGCGCTCTCCCACAGCTCCTATCTCCCGTCTCCGGACGGGTGAATAGCTGTTTGTCCCCGCAAAAAAAACCCAAAAAACCACCACCAACAAAAAAAAAACCCCAACACTGTGGGCAGGAGATGTAGTGCTGAATGAGCACGGATCTCCTCTTCCATTTGCAAATATGACTTGGACCTGGCCCAAAGGCAGCCGGGTACAACCTGCTGCAGAAAGCAAAGGCGGTTCTAGAGGTGCAACACCCCTCCGGACGCCGCGCCAGCAGCTAGCCAGGTTATTTTGCAGTGATTCGATGTGGATCCCCGAGGGCTGGGAGCTCAGGGCTGCAGAAGCCTGGTAACGAACACAGAGCTGCTTTCTCCTACTCTTGCTGGAGCAGTCGCTCCCAACAACCCTGTGGGTTCTTCCAGCTCCGAGAAGCGGCTCTTGCACAGGAGGAGAGGCCGGTCTCCTCTCCAGCTGAGCCGTGACAGGCTCCTAGGCACAGCACAGCTCACGAGATTCCGCCCGCATCCCCGCACCCGGCGCGTCCCGTCTCACTGCACAGTTCCCAGTGCTTGGTGCAAACCCTCGGGAATCATTTGCTGCACCCTGAAAGCTCCACCGCTCTGTTTTCTTCCGAATTCATCGATGGACAGCAAAAGGCACCGGCCTGACGGATGCCTGCCTGAGGTGCAAAGGGAGACAAGCCAAAGGCCGGTGCAAAGCTTGCTCCCTTTTTCTTGTTATGCTCTCTGCTGCCAGAGCCAGCCCGCGCAGGAGGTCAGCCTGCCTCCTTTCACAACCGTTCCCTTACAGACTAAGATTTTCCCTGAAGCCAGATTATCTCTTTGGCACCAGAAAAATCCTCTCAAGCAGCTGTTCCAGTGAAGCAAACACGGACGAAGCACGTAGCCTTCCACTGGAACAGGGGCTTCGCAACACCCTCCCTCCCTCGGATGAGCCGGAAGGGTTTATCTTGTATCCTCATCAACCATGATACCGGACAATGAGCTATTCCAGCAGCTCCTCTTCTTCCTGACGGATGGAAGGGATGGAATTTAAACGGAATCTATCTGCCTACCCATGGAAATAAGCAGGAGCTGGGAAAGGGCTCTTTTGCAGCCTGCCTGCAGTGACAACACCAGGCACCTCTGGCTTCTGCCTCTCACTAACAGAGGAGCTGTAAGCCGGGGTCTTCATCACACTTTTCCTGTTTGTGACCCTCCTGGACATCACCACCGTCACTAGCAGAAGGCACCACCGCCTTTTTCCTGAGGCTAAGCGAGGTTCCCGGGGCCCTCAGGCCAACCGACCCCAGGCAACCCAGCAGCTCTCACCAGGACGAGCTGCCCAGGGCTCCCACCGGTCCCTTCGCGTCCCACAGCTGGGGGGGATCTCTCCTCCTCTGGTGCGGGATCAGGCCTCTCCGACACCACCACTTCTGCCAGGAAGAGCATAAAGGTTACTCCAAATGGGACTTCCAATGATTCAGCTGCCAGAAATTATGCCACATGCCAGCTCAGGTTTAAAAAACAGCATTTCTCAGATCTCTGTCAGAACTTCACCTCATTAATCCTCCATTTCAAAGGGTATGAATTGCACCTACCAGTACAGACCGGTTTTTAACATCCCAAGTAAATTAGTTTTCCCTGTAATTGTTCAACCTTTCAAACAACAGTGCTGACTCCTACTGCAGTTTCCATCTGAAAAGAACTTTCCTAGGACCCATTTCCAAATGTGATGTCAAAGGATTTCGGCTCTGGAATATCACCCGGGAGGTGTCTCAGCATCCGCTTGCGGCTCCGAGAGGTTTAGGGCTGTTGGAACCACCGCCTCGGATCTGCCCTCCCCCCGAGGGGACTGTAGCAGGGGGACACTGGCTTTGCCTCTCTTTGGGACACAGAGTTTATCAGTGATTTAAAAGTGCTTTGAGATCCTGATATGAGAGACGTTAGTAGCTGCCGAACACGGCAAGTGGGGGTATAAAAGCTTGAGAGCTAATTCTAATCAGCTTAACCAAGCAATTAGGAGAGCTGTGCTGAGTATGGAAGTTTCTGTTCCGTTAAGGATTTTAAAACTTCAGTGTGAAGTGGAACAAAATGCCCAAAATTTCAACACACCCCACAAGGGGAAATGAGAACTAAAATTTCCTTTCAAATCTGCTGGAACGTTTCATTTCAATTTCAGCTTTGGAAACACATGCACTTTAAACCCTTTTTTTTTTTTTTTTTTAAACCCAAATTTGAAATATCTTATTTCAAGAGCAGAGGAATGCAGATCCCCAGCCAGCTCCCCGGGCTCGGGACCGAAGCATCCGCACCGAGTAACGAGCTGGCTTTGCCCTCCCTTGAAAGAGGCAAAAGCACCGTGAACCGGTTCTGCCCTTCCCCGGCATCCTGGTTTGCACGGAGCCGAACCCAGCACCTCCTGCCCGCGGCAGCAGGTCGGGTCAGGCCCTTGGAGAAAACACAAACCCCGTCTCTCTCTCTCTCCCTCTCTCCTCCGGCCGGCCTGGACGAGCCGGGAGGGGATTTTAAATCCCATCCACAACTAATGGATTTGGCACACATTCCTCGCTGCCGGCAAACGGGCCGACGGGCTTTGCAGCCCCTATCCCTTTCAGATGGGAATCGTGCTACCACCCTACATATGGCCCAGAAGGGTATTAAGTGACTCCAGGAGGGACGGAGGCAGAGAGAATTACATGCCAGCTGCCAGATTGGCTCCCTTGAGAAGTTGGGTGGCAGAGTTTTTTTTTACGCTTGGCTAAGGATCCACCTTTACTTAGGATTTTTATAATCCGAACTAGACTTTGAGCAACAACGAAACTGTAAATGGTAGAAGGGGATATAAAGAAAACAGGCAAACGGAGTCTTTTCTCTGTGTTTAAAATAGCCAGTTTCCAAAGGAAAAAAAAAAAAAGAACCTAAAATGACATTTCAGTTCTCCCTTACTAACAGTTTCATTCAAGAGGCAGTGCCGTGTTGCTTTCTGATAACATAC